GTTTATCTACAAGCAGCTGATGTAGGCAGGTTGCAAGCAGCTCAATGAAATAATTTGCAGCAGTTTCTTATTAAACAGAGAGGTTGCAAGCAGCTCATGCAGACAGCTTACAAGCAGCTAAAGAAAAGCCTTGCAGCTGCTTCCTGAAAAGACTTGCAGCTGCTTCCTTTCTTCTATAAATAGAGGAGTTTTCAGTTCATTATGTACATGAATTTGAAGTTGAATAATATATCAGTTTCTCTCTATACTTGTCTTTACTTTACAGTCTTTATTTTATAACATATTAATTTAAATATCGATTTTTTTGTAATTAATTAAATAAATATTCAAATTGTGTGAAAGATAAGTGGAGATACTGTTTATCCTCTCTCCAATCGAAGAAGAAGAAATAAAAAATCTCATAAACGACACAAGACTCCATGTGGTTCTGTATAGTAGAGACGAAATTCTTGAATTGTGCAATTTTCAATAAATGAAAGATAATTCTTTATTGTCATGCTGTGGGGCCTCATAATTACTTCCAGTAGCTTAATCATTTAGTCATTAATAAATGATTAAACCCATGCATACTATAAATAAAGAAATAATACTCCCTCCGTCTTAAATTATTTTTCGTGGTTTTTAATATAGTTATCTTAAATTATTTGTCATTTTAAAAATTCAAGAGCAAATTAATTATTTTTTTCTATTCTACCCTTAATATTAATTCTTCTTGAAGACTACAAATACCTTAATTATGAGTAAGTATTAAATGAATACAGATTATATCTTAAGATATAACAAGGGTAAAATAGTCAAAAACCTTTCCTATTTAATATATTTTTTAAGGGATGTGTAGAAGAGAAACACAATAGATAATTTGAGTCAATTTGAGGCGGAGAGAGTAACTCTCTCCTTTCATTTTTACTTGTCCATACAAAACTTTACACACCTCCTAAAAAATAATAAATATAACATATATTTTACATAATACCTATAATAATAATAGCATTTCAAAATATCTTGCCAAATAATTTAAAAAATAAGTAGTTAATGATAAGAGTAAAAAAGAGAAAATTATTTTATGTTGATTTACTTAAATGGATAAATAAAAGTGAAAATATATATTTCAGTTTAATGAAAAATAAAAGTGAACGGAGGAAATTAATATCTTAATTAATACACTAATCATTAATAGAAATGATTAAATCCCCATCATGCTATAAAAAAAGGAATTCTCAACAAATAATTTAATAACAAAACTCCCACATGTTAAAAGTCCCATAATTTTTTCTTCGGTCCAAGATTTTCTCTCTCTAGAAGCTTCACCCCTATAAATGTCAATCTCCATCTTCCCTGCTACGCGTAGTAGTTGAGAAGAGAGAAAAATAGGGAGAGAAAAAAATGGTGAAAAAGAAAGAAGAAAAAGATGCCAATAAAACAAGCAAAAAATGATTGCAAAAAGAAGAAACTTTCTTTAGTTCATTCTTTTTAATCTAATGATGTTGTGTTAGCCATTCCTCATATTTCTCTTCTATTTCCCCTCTTCTTTTGCCATCTCTATTTTCTCTCTCCCCATTTCACATTTACCCTTTTTTTTTTTTCCTTCTTTTTTTTCTCTTTTTCAAAATTCCATAATCAGCTGACACCTTTTATTTCTCTCTCTATCTCAAAAAAAAAAATCTTGAAAAATAAGTGGATCTTGCTGCTATCCATTTCTTTTCTCACCGACCCCTTATCAGGGTTTCAAAAAAAAAAACTTTTTTTTTCTTCAAAAGTTGGACATTTTCGGATTCACATTTTAGCTTCTAGGTTCTGGGATTTTAGGTGATGAATTTGAAGGTTCATATTTGCATGATCCATATTTAGGGTTTGGATTTTCATTTGAAGGTTTTTTTTGGGTAATATTGAGGTGGTTTAAGGGACTGGGTGTTCAATTAGATTGAATACTATTTACTGCTTTGAAGGTGCTCCACTTACTCCAAAGAGTCCTTGTGGCAACTTCATCAGCTTTCTTCATTCAGGTAAAAATAAAAATTCACAAATGATGTTATAATAGTAATTTATTTAAGTTATAATAGTAATTTATTTAACTATCTTTAATATCAGTTTCAGCTTGTGGTATGTTATTGTTTTTCTTTTTTCAGTCATTATAGGGCTGTTAATTGTTCAGCATTTATCTATTTTGATACTTTCTTATGCTTTTGGTAATGTGTTATGAATTTGATTGGTCTTTAAGTTATAGAGGTTTTATTGACTTTAGCCTTTGAGGGTTGGGGATTCTTTATTGGTGTTGCTGAAGTTTCTGAATTGTTAATATGCATTAATTTGAGGTATTTCACGTATTGTAGGTGTTAGATTTGACAAAATTAGTATTTTGATGCTGAAGTTATGCCAGTGATCTAATTAATTGTGAAATTTGATATTTTTTTATCTATCTATGTATCTATTTATTTATTTATTTATTTATTTATTATAATGCTTGTTTACTCATAAATGATATTTTTATTAACAAACACCCAATGGTGGAAGAGGTTCACATATGCACGATTGATTTGCGTTTCAGCAAAATCATTTGAGTTTATTAGCTGATTTGAAGCTAAATGATTGGTCGATATTCTTGGCGGTTTCTTTATGTTGTTCAGCTGCTATTAGGTTTACAAAATATACTTACTTGAGTTTTGGACAAATCATTACTTTTTGGTTACAGCTGGACGTTGAGCTGAGTTTTTTCTTTTTATGAGTATGGGATTAAGTGGTAGTTGATCGATTAATTTGTAGATAAAGAACTTAAAGCCTCTCTTCGCCGTGTTTCCTTCATTTTATTTCAAGAAGTTATTATGTCACAGTATTTGGTAGTTGGATGTGATAAGGTGATGTGATGGGTTTTTAGAAGTTTGGTGCCCTGAATTATGTGTTAAGGAATTTAAGAATAGGTTAATTATTTGGAAATAATTTAAGCGTATCACGATATTTGAATGGTCTCTAAATGATAAAATCTTTTTATGGAGTTGAGAGTCGGGGTCTTTATTATATTTGACATTTCAACCTTTTGAGGCTGATAAACGGGGAATTTGAACTTTTTCATTCTAAATGTTTGTTTAATGATAATTAGTAATTGAATATTGGGTGTCTTTTGTAGAGAATCATATCTGTTTGTAGATTTTCTATTTTTTAGTATACAACTTGTATATCAGGGAGTTTTCTTTTCCAATCATCAAAAAAATTATTTTCCTTATTAAAAAAAAAAAATCTGATAAAAGTTATGATGGAACCGACAAATGCTTAATATGGTGTAAGAGGTTCTCCTATGTACAAATTGAATTCCTTATCAGCAAAATCGTTGAGTTCGTTGGCTGGTTAGAAGCTATATGATTGGTCAATATTCTTGGCTGTTTCTTTAGGTTTACAAGTTATTTTTATTTGAGTTTTGTCAAAACATTCCCTTTTTTGCTCACCTGGATGTTGAGCTCAGCATTTTCTTTTTTCAAGTATGGGATTGAGGTATAGTTGATTTGTCGATAAATAAGTTAAACCCTTTTTCTCCCCATGTTTCCTTCATTTTATCCCAATAAGTGATTATCTCACATTTTTTTAATAGGTAAGTCAACATTTTATTGAAACAAAAGGAGCACAAAGATGCTATTCATTATGTCTGTATCCTTACAAGTGTACCAATTTTTGGTTATGTCACATTAATTGGTAGTTAGTCGTGATAAGTTGATCAGATGGGTTTTCAGAAGTTTGGACTGGGATAATTCAGAATAGGTTATTCGTTTTTCGTCATGAACCTTTTTCCATCTTTGTTACTATTATTTAAAAATCTCAATCTTGCTTTTTAAAAGTTGGCAGTTTCTTTATTGTCATTCATTTTTATAGTAAGCGCAACTGGTTTGTCATGAATGATGTCACTCCTTTTGGATGTGTTCCTTATTACTCCCTTGACCTAGTAACAAACAATTTTATATCCCTTACATTCGCCGTCACTATTGCTTACTTCTTCAACCTTTTTTTAGGATATGAGTATGACAAGTGAAAGCGATGACAGGATGACATCAAATGTTGGTGTGGATTCGCCATCTGTCGAAGAAGCCTGTGGTGGAGGAAATACCGGAGGAGGTCTACCACTAAAAAAAGGCCCCTGGACTTCTGCAGAAGATGCAATTTTAGTGGATTACGTCACGAAACACGGTGAGGGGAACTGGAATGCCGTCCAGAAGCACTCAGGACTTGCTCGATGTGGTAAAAGTTGTCGTTTGCGGTGGGCCAATCACCTGAGACCAGATTTAAAGAAAGGTGCTTTCACTCCCGAGGAAGAGCGCCGCATAATTGAACTGCATGCTAAGATGGGAAACAAATGGGCACGAATGGCTGCTGATGTTCGTAACTTCTCTCAATCTGCTTCTTTTTTTGCAGTCTATATTGCTAATGGCTTACTTCTTTTCAAATCTTATCTCTGATAATAAAATCCATAAATGCGATCAGATATCATTATTTTAGCTAAATTATTTTCTAGAATTTGGTTAAACTGACAGTTCAAGAGAACTTTTGGTAAAAACAGCAATTTTTTTCATGTTTACCTTTCTGCGTTATTTACATGATCACATTTCATATACCCAAATCATTGTATTGAAAACTTTTAAGTCATGTTCTTTAAAAAAAAAATAGGAATGAAAACAGAATCATATGTGAAATTTGTTTTACTTAAAGAAAATCCTTGTTTTCAGTTGATGTGATGCACTACTATATTATCTAGTGGGGCAGTAAAATTTCTTTTCTTAAGTTGGTGGGTTGAGCTGGTTTAAAAGCCGTATCTGCCCCTTAAATAATTTAATCACCAGCTTATAATCATAGTACTTGGGAAATGACTGCTCATCCTTTCACTTTTAAGTTTCTATTTGATTTTGCTTAATTCTTTTTCTTAGCTGGATGTTATACCTGGCATTAATTGACAAAATCTATTATTAGATTGATAATCACCATAACACTTTCCAAACAATGTTAATAGTCCTTGATAAGCATTCTGCTTTTGGGAGAAGCAACTAGTGTTCTCAGATTTTACCTTTATATAAAAAAGTAGCGTTCTTTCAATATGTTTATTTAATAATGTGTTATCTGCTTGTCTTCAAGTTTTCAAGTGCAATGTTTAGAAATCTTGCTCATTGCAAGTTTTTATCATTAAAATAGTCTTATCTTTTCTTTTTGTACTCCCCTGTTTGTTGTTAAGCTCTCTGAACTTATCTTTTGTTTTTCTATTTGTTGTCAATTATTGGGTAGTTGATATGAAGTTAATGTCTGATCCTCAATGATATTAAGGTGTAAGAGTGTGGTCTGGTAAAACTATTAACATCATCTTTTGAAGGGAGGAGGAAACAAGCTGATCAACTGTACCTTTTTTTGCCTTATAGAAACTGACCTGGATGGTTGTTCCATCTGGTTGGTCCTAGAAATTGAATGCCGTTTGCCTGATTATTGATTCAAAACTGGTGACTTGGCTCAGATCGGTTTGATCCTCGTCTGGCTCTTATTAACCTCTTGCTCCATCATTTAGTAAATATAAACCCTTTCTCAGTCGTTATTGCTCTATATGTTAAGCAGAAGATACATGCACATCCTCCTACCCCTCTCTCGTGCGACTGAATGAAATGTTCCAAGGCAACACTTTTTAGGTGTTGGCCATTTATGTGCTCATTTGTTTCCTTATTTTTCTGTATATAACATGTGCAAAATATGTGAATATTTTCTTTTTACTTTTGCAAGTAATCATTCAACTACACCTCAATCCATAATAATGAGGGTCAATCAATACTTCCGCAATTAACCGAAAAGAGGTGTTGGGGTGGGATTGGGTACAAAGTTATCCTTATCATTGTCTCAACTTACCGACCTCCTTGTGCAGTTATCCCTAACTTCTGTTGATAGTTTAGGTGCTATATATTTCTAGATATTGCGAATATATGTGCAGCATATGATATGTTGTGAAATCTCTCTTTTTCTTGATATATTATATTTAATGACAGATGTGGGTTTTGTTTTAGATCCTGATCAGGTTATCAAATTAACAGTACTCTGAAATTTATTCAGATTATCCATTTAAGGAGTTCATTGTTCAATTGAAGTGCACACTTGTAGTTTATAGCCCTATCATGTGCTGGCCTTGTTGCTGTTTTTTGGAAGTAATGCTAGTACTTTCGGATTAGCTCTCCTCAGCTATAGTATTCTTTTCCTTCTCCTTTGTTCTTCGTTTTCTTGCTGTTCTTAGCACTGAGGAGTGTCAAAATGTGACTAATCGTGGCATGGTGGGAAGTGTTGTGATATGAATTTATAGTCTAACAATCTTTTATCTTAAAAAGTTTTTAGAAACCAAATGTAGAAGTGTCTGGGTCATTGGGATTCAACATATTACAAGGGTCTTATCTGCCTTGACATATTTATCAATAATTTTATAATTCTTTTGCACACTTGGTAATAATCTTTTGACTTGGATAGGAGTCTTGATTCTGGTGAGTAAGAAAAGTAAGGTATTCTAGGGAGAAAGGGAAAGTACTCATAGTGAATGCCACATTGTTGGGAGCGCCTAACTCACGTGATAAATTTCTTTTCACTCTTTTTGCGACTCTTTTGTGATGTTCCAAGTTCATTATTCCATCATATAGTGCACATGATTTTTCTTTAGGTGGTTTCGTGCAATGTGTGTCACCAGATATGAATAGTGCTTTGTGCTTGGTAGAACCTGTATGTATGGATATATTTGGATAATGTTCTTTGTAGTCTGGAAATGTGGATTTTCCCCTCTTCTATCAGTACATTTAGCTCTGTAACTTCCATTATTTGATATGACTTTCTACAAAATAACAAAAACTGTGACCTCACCATGTTCTCAAATTGGAAATCTTGTGGTATATCATTCGTTATTCCAGTTTAACATTTGATGCCCCTATTCTACTTTTTCAGTTGCCTGGGCGCACAGATAATGAGATAAAGAACTACTGGAATACCAGAATAAAGAGACGACAGCGTGCAGGCTTGCCAGTTTACCCTCCAGATATTTGTTTTCAGGCGATTAGTGAAAACAAGCAAAACGAGGAGTTGGGTGCATTCTCCTCTACGGATGCACAATATCCTGATTTCTTACCAATGAACAATTATGAGATTCCAGCAGTGGAGTTCAAAAATTTGGAATTCAATCAGCAGTTGTGTCCACCACCACTTCTTGATATTCCCTCCGGTAGCTTACTTGATATTCCTGCGAGAAGCCTGTTGGCACAGGGTCTTAATTCTGCCTATTACAGTCGGTCATTCTTCTCAACGGTGCATCCAACCAAGCGTATGCGAGGCTCCGAGTCTGAGTTCTCTGGTTTAAATGATGATTCTTCTCCATTAAAAAATGATGATTCTTTCCCAAGCTACCATCAATATCAGAATGATGGTTTTTTGCTTGCTCAGTCCTTGGGGTTTTCATCTTCATATTATCGAAATCTAACATCTGATCATCACCCGACATCCTTGGGTGTAATTCCTGGCAGCCATGCCCATTTAAATGGCAACTCCTCTTCTTCAGAGC